GGGAAGTGCTTGACTTGTGATTTTGTGATACGAAATCCAGCATATATCTCTTGTTTGCTGTGACATACTGTGTCTTTGTGTCAGTAAAATAATAATAATAATAATAATAATAATAAATGAATTTATTACCCGCTTTTCCCTGTGGGTTGAGACAGGATACAGCATCATTATAATAAGGGATAAATCACTATTAAAAGACACTGATAAAATACAGATTAAAATTCACAACTTAAAATTGACCAGGTAGGCCTGCTGGAAGAGATGGGTCTTCAATTGTGTCTTAAATTCCTACAGCTGATCTAGCTGTTGAAGCTCTTCCAGCAGGTCCTTCTACAGTCTGATGAAAAGGTCCTTTGAGTGACGGTTGCCAGGCAGGAGTAGACGCCCCCCCCCCAGAGGAACTAGGTGTGCAGGGCAGATTGTACAAGGGAAGATGGTCCTGTAGGTAACCTGGACCCAAACCAGTTTCAGACAAAAGCAAAAAGGGGAATAGCCAGAACCACCTCAAAACCAACTGCTAGAGACATAATTTTAAAAACTCCAGAAAGATCAGAGTGAAGATTCCAGAAGTCTGGACCACGAAGTTATAACTCTTGATCCAGTCACCTTGGCCTCTGATTGGTCAAGCTCTACAGGGAGAACCTCTGGGATATGCACTTACACAGGCCCTATAATACTGGCTCCTGAGTTTATCCATAGGCTACACAACAAAATCTGAATGTATTTACCAAGTGAAGAGATGCATAGAATGGATTACTTTGAAACTTATCTCTGTCGCTGCAGACCCAACTGGACTTTGTAGTTCAAAGCGCCCAGAAACAGTATTTCCTAGCTGTAACTTCTTAGAACTAGCATTTGACAGTCAATAAAATAAAGCGTTGTTGATTAATTTGTCATCCACACCACATAGTGCCATCTCACTCTCCACTTTTAATGTTATTTTTACCTAGAAGTCCTCAAAAGGATCAATAAGTGTAAAAAAGTAAACATAAAAATTACATCCAATTCCTATGACCCAAGACAATCCTGAAATGCTAATTAAAACTGTGGACAGTTTAGCAGCAACTGTAGTACATATCTGTGAAAGAGACAAATTTATGTCTAAAACAGTTTAGTTGGGCCACATTGCTAATTCCTAAAATAAAGCTGAAATTATGTCTAAGTGGCTCAACACCTAAGGTTTTTTTTCCCCGAAATTATTGTGAATACTGCCACACAAAATTATACAAACATTCAAAAAATTGTCGAAGGCTTTCATGGCCGGAATCACTGGGTTGTTGTAGTTTTATTTGGGCTATATGGCCACATTCTAGAGACATTTACAATTTCCCACAATTTCTCACAGCCAAAAGGACTTTCAAAACACCAAAGGCTCACCAGATCTATGACCGCCTGAAACACAACCTCTTACGAGAGAGAATTCACACCATCCACAAAGAACTCGCAAACACAGACAAGGAACTGCTGCATCTTCATATCAAAATCAGCCAGAAGATGAATTCCCAGGACTGGGACAAAACAGACAACCTCACTTACAGGAAAATGGAGAAAAACATGGCTGTCCACACCAACAGACAAAAACAAAAATTCCACTAACGCCAAAAGCAATAGCCGAAACCAGAACTGGATACATCGCTGACCATCATCAACCTGACAGAGAGACAACTCTCTGAAGACCAAGTATCCATACTAGCGAAAGGAGGAAATTTTGCTGTAACCGCCACCAGGATCCCAATAGAACACATCATTGTCAATGTAGAATCAGCAATTTATCGCCTCCCCGAGGAAGAAGCAGAAGAAGTGAGAAGGGAAACAGCAAGGATCCTGAAAAAGGCAAAACTTCCCTCCAGTAACATAACAAGTAAGGAAAGACAAGCCATCAGAGACCTCAACTCAGATCCTGATATCATCATTCTCCCAGCAGACAAGGGGAATGCCACAGTAATCATGAATACAGAATAATACAAGGAGAAGATCAGAAAACTCCTGGATCCTACTATATATAGAAAACTTAAACAAGACCCAACTTCCAAAATAACCAGGAAAACCAACGCTCTGATTAAGAACTCCTCAAACAACAGCGATGTAAATCGGAAGCCCTTCCACCTAGGCTTTATGGACTCCCAAAAATCCATAAGGACTCCACCCCACTCAGACCCATCGTGAGTGCCATTGGATCCCCCACGTACGACTTAGCAAAATTTCTTGCTGCACAGTTACAAAGCCATATTGGGCTCACTACACAATACATCAAGAACTCAGCCCACTTCATAGAAAAAATCAGCAATCTCAAGCTAAATACCAATGACAAACTGATCAGCTTTGATGTGGTGTCTATTTACCATGGTCCCGGTAGCAGACACCATGACACTCATCAACCAGAGGCTCTATTTCACCATTGCCTCACCACCAGCTACTTTCAGTGGGACAATGAATTCTACGAACGGAAAGATGGAGTAGCTATGGGGAGCCCTCAGTCATAGCTAATTTCTACATGGAACACTTTGAAAAACAAGCCCTGGAAACAATAACAAAAAAATCCACTATATGGTTCAGATATGTGGATGACACTTTCACCATTTGGAGCCATGGAGAAGAAGAACTCAACAGGTTCCTGGACCATCTTAACAGCATCCACCCAAATATCAAATTCACCATGGAAAAAGAAAATGAAGGAAGATTGCCTTTTCTAGATGTCCTAGTCATCTGTAAACCAGATCAACAATTGGGACACACCGTTTACAGAAAACCTACACACACAGATAGATATCTACATAAAAACTTCAACCATCACCCAAGTAAAAAAAAAGGACCATTAAAGCCTTGGCAGACCGTGCAAAAAGAATCTGCGAACCCCACCTCCACCAAGATTAACTGAACCACCTAAACTGGGCTCTACAGGCCAATGGATACTCCACCTCAGACATCAGAAGAGCTGCAAGACCAAGAACAAGCCATGAGAGTCAAGACAAAGATCCACCCAGAGAAAAAGTGTTCTTGCCATACATCAAGGGAACCACTGACCGCATAGGGAAGCTGATGAGGAAACACAACATACAAACTATCTACAGACCCACCAAGAAAATCCAACAAATGCTATGTTCAGCAAAGGACAAGAGGGATCCTCTCACTTCTGCAGGAGTCTACCGTATACCATGCAGCTGTGGACAAGTCTCCATAGGGACCACCAAACGCAGCATTGCCCAAACACGAATCAAGGAACATGAAAGGCACTGCAGACTACTTCAACCAGAGAAGTCAGCCATAGCAGAGCACCTGATGAACCAGCCTGGACACAGCATATTATTTGAGAACACAGAAATGCTGGACCACTCTAACCACCACCATGTCAGACTACACAGAGAAGCCACTGAAATCCACAAGCATGTGGACAATTTCAACAGAAAGGAGAAAACCATGAAAATGAACAAAATCTGGCTACCAGTATTAAAAACTCTAAAATTACAACAGCAAAACAACAGAGGGGAAACAATCAGGTACATGTAATCACCTCTCAACAAAAGATTGCCCCAGGCACTGCCAGGCCATCAAATGCTAATCAAGGTGGTCAGTTGAAACATTCACACCTAGCTCCAGAAGACAAGAGTTCTTTGCCCCACCCTGGTCATTCCACAGATATATAAACTCACTTTCCTAGTTCCAATAGACCTTACCACCTCTGAGGATGCTTGCCATAGATGCAGGCGAAACATCAGGAGAAAATGCCATATAGCCTGAAAAAACCTACAACAACCCATTCAAAAAATTCTCTTATTAGCACATGTTTATATAATTTCTCATCTTTTACCCTCCCCTCCCTGGGAACAATTTATAAATTTTGCTGTACTGATTATGATTGTGATTGACCCTAACTACTAATAACAAGGATAAAAAAATCAATATACTAATGGCTAAGTAGAATACTTTATCATAAATAGAACTGAGGCTATTAAGACAAGCAATAAAGTCCAAAAAGGAATCCAAACAAAATTCCAAGTCTAAATGTTAGACTAGCTAGGCATTACATTTCTCTTTTTCTCATTATCATAATGTTGCAAATAAACTTGTATTTTGAATTATGAGTGATTTTCTGTTTCTCCAATAATTACAAATATGCAATCACTAAAAATAATTCAGCATTCCTTTATTTGATGCAATATAAGAGGTAATATCCAGTCCATCATCACTGCTTTATCTCTTAGTTCAGAAAGAATAACAATGGATCAATATATTGTCCCACTAATTCTAGTAGGTGTGGTGGTGGGCAGAAAATCCAGGCATGATTAAATGCATACTTCTCTTTTATTGTACTATTTCTAAATTTTAAAAGGGAGAGTTCTGGATTTGTTTTGAACTACAAGAGAAAGTTCTGAATTCTGCTTCCGAACTACGGTTGTTGCTGAGGCGTATTTTGCTGGTTTGTTTTTGGGCTTTGGGGTAGCTAAATATTTTGCAATGGTGCTCACAAGTCTCTTTTTCTCGTGCATTTGAATTTTTAGGTCTAGACTCATATGTCTCTTACATTATGCATTGTTTGGTCCTAACTTGCAAAGATCTGTAGTGCCATTTTAACATGTTATATTCTAACAGTCAGGTGATTTTTCTCATGCAAATGTATATATCCTTCTGAACTTTGTGCCAATTCAAAAAGTGTAAGGAAAACAACCATATAAAAGAGATAAGTGAAAGCAAATGTACTGACTACTAGCAGCTAGAGGGAAGTTAAATGATATGTGCATACATTGATTGTGAGTATCCAGAAAAATTCATCCACATCCAACAAAAGGCCACCTGCTATCAGTCAGTAGATATTTTGCAAGTATTCCAGGGCTGCATTTGGCATCAACTAATAGTACAAGCTATATTACTTCTTTGTAACAATTTTTTAAAGTTGGGTTTTGTCTCTGGCACAGAATTGTAACTAATCCATAATATTTAATTGTGATACACCCCATAAACTAAAGATTTAGATTTCATTAAACATTAAGAAAATACCTTACCTCTGTCTGAAGTATGGCAGCTCTCTGTTCTTTGGCAGTAAGCGACTCTTTAAGCACTTCAATGTGTTGCTTGCAATCTGAATTCTGATTGCTAAGGGTTTCAAGCTTTGTTTGTAAGGCAAGAAGTTCTGACTCTTTCTTTGAAAATTCCTGCTTTAGCTGGTCAATCTGCAATTGAAACAAAACAACAATTCAACCATTTTAGTACCTTCCAAATATAGAGTCATAAAGACAATAGAGAAACCAACAAGTCAACACAAATTCATATAAGTTCACATATTATTAGCATAAATAACATCTGTTGAGATTGATAAACCTATCAGTGATATTTTATAATGAATTCACAGTATTGTCTTAAAATCAAAGCATTCAACAGTCATGGGCTCCAACACTTTAGGTCCCTTTATATGCATTCATCAGATTATGGGAATCTAACATTGAAAAGGCAGAAAGGAAACCTGGTGTCTCCAAATTATAGGGCTGAATGTGTATAGATATGACATGGGTTGTGATCCTTTTAAATATAACTGCTTTCTTTTAAGTTCATATAATGGTGTAGCTGTGACATTTAAAAGAGCAACATCTATATCAATCCTAACCACAATTCAAGATATTGGAATTTAATTGATGGAGGGCAACAGGAGTGTTAGATGTGACCACAATATTTTAAAAAAATCAATACTAACCATTCAATGCAGTTTTAAACCAGCATTGAAGAAAGTAGTTTAACTATACAGATGGTTATCTAGAAAATCCTGGAGTTTGAGGTCCGGATAGTGATGACAGAAACCACAGAACAGTGATGCACATTAAGGTAGATCCTCATGGGGGCCATCCAATTGGGATTTCCTGGTTTAGCTGTCCAGAGGAATGCTCTTGATGTTGCTGGGGGAACGTTAAGAGGAGGTGTTCATTAAGCTTTTCCTTGATTTGAGTCTATTGGGAGGAGGCTAATAGCCATGCAGTGGGTGGCTTTCACAGTGTTTGACCTTATTTATCTTACAGTTAGCAGCAACTTCACATAGCACATCAGGGAGGGGGGATGGCAGCTAGTTTCTCAAGTTTATCAACAGGTGTGGGTTTAAGACATCCTGTGATTATTCTGCATGTTCCATTCAATGCTATGTTCACCTGCTTCATGTAAGAAGACTTGTGCCAAACAGGCAGGCATACTCGGCAGTTGATTAAGATATGGCCAGGGCTGATGTTCTTATTAATTCTGGGTCTGCACCCCATGTGCTGCCAGTAAGTTTTCACAGGATGTTATTGTGTGCAGCTACTTTGTGCTTGCAAGTTATGCAGTGTATCCTATATGTTGGTGTTCAATCTGAGATGACACCAAGATATTTAGGATGGAAACAATGTTCGTTAAGAGGAGGTTCTCATGAAGCTTTTCCTTGATTTCAATTTCCTGTTGGCTTCATGGTTCTGTAGGTGGAAAGCACACACTTGTGTCTTGGCAGGGTTAGGCTTCAGATGGTTATCTTTGTAGTAGATGGAGAGATCTTTCAAGGCATTATTAAGTTGGATTTTGACTGTTTCTAGGCCAAGGTCATCAGCATATATAAAACTCTTTGTGAGTTGTGATTGTGACTGATCATTAGTAAAGATGTTAAACAAGGTCAGTGCAAGAATGCTGCCTTGGGGTAAACCATAATTTTGTCTCCTCCATCAACATTTCCTGTCTTGAAATTCCACATAGAAGCTGTGGTTTTCAAGGAGAATCTGGACAGTTTTTGTAAAATCATAGTCCCAGGTAATATGGTAGACTTTCTGCAACATTTTCTTATGTTACACCATGTCATAGGCTGCCATAAGGTTGACAAAAACCATTCTGGTAATGCAACCTTTCTCATATCCTTCCTCAATGTACTCTGTCAGATTAAGAATTTGGGCTGTCCAGTTTTTCCCTGGTCTGAAATAACAGGTCCAAATTGATTTAATAGCATCCTCTCATATACTTTATATAGATGACACTAGAGCGAGATTGGGCAGTAGTTCCTGGCATTGGAGGCGTCTTTACCGGGTTTTAAAATGGCAATTATCTTAGCTTTCCTCCATAGTCTGGGAATCTGTTTGCCCCTTAACCCCTGAAATAACGAGACAGACAACAAAGGTATGGATTCAAATTGGGCAACTTTTATTGAATGTTACCTATTTAACTTTTCCTGAACTAAACTAAGTGTCAAGGAACTTGGTGGCTAACCGAGGCAGCGTCCTCGGCTACTTAGTGTGTAATATTTGTGTGCCCTGGATCCCCAACCGGGCACCTGAAGGTAAAAGTCTGGAGAAGCCTGTGTCCGATTATTGAAATCAGCTTCTCTCCTTACTGTGCCAATTGATGTCCCCTCACCCATTTGGTGACTTCTAGGTGAGTGTTTGTTGTACACTGACCCCCACCCTAAGGGGTGCCTTGCGTATACCTCCATGTCTGTGTTTTCCTGATCTATTTATGCTGGCCTAATTAACCGAACCACCCCAACTAGCCCCTAATAACAGTATAGGGTAGGCGAAAAAACCCCCCAGAACATGAGAGGCAAAAAATTCCTACCCGGCTCCAACGGGCAACCAAATATACTGTCAATGGGCGGGAGTGGTGGGTGAAAAGTCTGAGAAGACTGAGGTGAGGAGGCTGGCTCACGTAATTAGCCAGCCCCCGCCCCTCTTCGAAGAGGTTCTAAAGGAACCTACCATCTCTGCCTTCAGGGGGAGGGGCAAATCGCTCTCCCCACCAACTGTGTTGGTGTGGAAAGTCCCTTGTGTGTCAAGCATTGATTATAAAATTTCAAAAGCCAGTTTTCAGCTTTGGGGCCTAAGTGTTTGATTTGTTCCATCATTAAGTCATCTAGGCCAGGTGCTTTACCAGTTTTACATCTCTTAATAGCTTCTTTGATTTCTTTCAGGTATAGGGGAGATGACAACTGGTGGGTTTCAAATTCTTGCACCCTGTTGATTTTTACCTTTACTCTGCTACAGTTGGTTTACCCATTCTGAATTAGCTGATATGCCATCTGGTCTGGTGTTACATTTGCATGTCCACAGTTGACCAGAGTGTCACTAACCAGGTATCTCAGCAATTGCCAGGCTCTTCGGCTACCCTTCGACATATCAAGATGTCGAAGCAGCTCTATCAGGTGGTCTTTCTTAGCACCTGATAGAGCTAAGATAATTTTTGGCCTGCTGCTATAATCTCATTGTTGTATGGATTCTCTTGAAATATCTATGTATTTATAACATTTCTACCCTGACTTTCTCTGCCCCGGAAGGGACTCAAGGCAGCTTACACTTAGGCAACTATTTGATGCCTTCCAAAACATTTTACAATTAAAAAAACATTTAAATACAATTATAAAATACATTTAAACATATAAACATATAAAATAATGCCTTCACTGTTAACCACATTTTCTAAAGTCATTCTGGGCCATTCCAATAGTCATTGCACATAATTCCAATTTTATCTATTGCATAGGATCTTCAAAGGTCTGATCAAAAAGCCACATTTTTACTTTCTTATGGAAGATCAAGAGGGGGCTGATCTAATATCCCTAGGGAAGGAATTCCACAGCCAAGGGGCCACCACTGAAAAGGCCTATATCTTGTCCCTACCAGTTGCACCTGGGAAGGAGGCGGGACCGAGAGCGGGGTCTCCTCAGATGATCTTAAGCTCCAAGATGATTCATAGGAAGATATCCATTTGGAAACATAGTCTGAGATATTCTTGTAGCTGGTTTAGCAATTCTTCATTTAGGCTTGTTAGGTAGCTTGTGCAACAACCTCTAGGGATTGAGAGCCTCAAGGATCGTTTCAGAGCTTCTACAAACAGGTCACAGCCTTCTATCAATGGTTCTATATCAGAAATAGCTGCTTCCAAGTTCCCTGTAAACTTTGTTCAGTTAGTTTTATTGAAATATATCTTCTGCAGAAAGGGACGCTTTTTGGTCTTCCAGCTGCATATGCATGGCAGCCTATTGGTCTGTGTTGAGTATTAGGTTGAGTATTTGTAAATCCAATTTACAAATAAGAAAGTGATATGTGATCTGGACAACTGCATTTATTCAACTTATACAATCTCCCCCGACCCAACAGGGATAGGAAAAACAGAAACTGTGTATGCCAAGATTATATGCGGCTTCCTACTGTTGACTGACCTGACCTAGTCTAGTCCTAACGAATGAATTCCAAAACTCCCAGCAGCTGTTTGTGTTTGGGTTTTTTTTTAACAGAACCAACATTGTTGATTTGAGACAAGAGCACATCCCTTTTTCCACACATTAAATTGAATAAGTTCAGACTGGCACATTGCAGTAGCCAAAAAATTGAGTTCTCACTGGTGGAAGATATAAAGAAGTACCCTAGTATTACATTTTGTTCATAACAACAAAGGTTGTCATCTTTCAGATATTTGTTACAGCTGTCAAAAATCCTTATTTCAGTTACCAAAATTACAGTGCACTTGACCTCACATTTTCCACAGCTTTTTCTAAGGATTGTAAGCACACACACACTTAACTGAGGAATGTGAAGTTGTGAAACTGCTGTATGTAAGAGGATGCTGAAGACATTTTCTCCATTAGTAGGATTCAGTTTATCCCAAAGCTACAGTCTGAAAGACTATTTAAACATGGAAAAATATCCAACAAATTCTGGGTTTGATCACAAGTTTATAATACCTAACCCACATGTTCCAGATTAGGAAGGTACAATATTTATCATCTGCAATACTACAGAGTCATATGTTATAGGAAAATATTTCTTACAGGTCCTGCACTGCTTTATTTCAGCTCACCGTATGAAATGGATTCTTTTAAAATCATATCCAAAACACATCTTACATGATTATAAATCTGCTTGCACATTTGGGATATTTATAGTACATAGCACTTTCACTTTTCTTCATGAGATCTGTGCTCTTCATTGAATAATATACTAGACATTTTTCTAACCTTTGCCCATAATTTTCAAAATTAACTAGCATTATAAATTAACAAAGCTTTAAAAAATAAAGCTCTACACACAGATTCATAGGACTTCATCAGATGGAGAAAATTGCCTATCCTATGACACTTGGGCCTCTCTTCAGGCACGGAGTCCACCAGATATCATCAAATGACGATCTACTTCCGGGGGGCTACATGCCTGAAGAGAGGTCCAAGTGTTGCAGGAGG